AGAACTCAGGAAAATCAGCAAGAAAAAATCAAACAACCCCATTAAAAAGTGGGCAAAGGACATGAAAAGAAACTTTTCAAAGGAAGACAGACTAATGGCCAACAATCAAATGATAAAATGCTCAACATCACTAATGATCAGGGAAATGCAAATCAAAACCACAGTGAGATGTCACTTATCTCCAGTGAGAATGACTTTTATCAAAAGTCCCAAAACAAAAAATGTTGGTGTGAAGGTGGAGAGAGAGGAATATTCATACACTGCTAGTGGGACAGCAAACCAGTACAACCTCAGTGGAAAGTAATATGGAGATATCTCAAAAAGCTAAAAGTAGAGCTACCATTTGATCCAGTAATCCCATTACTAGGCATCTACTCAAAAGGTAAAAAAGACATTCTATAAAAAAGACATCTGCACTCTAATGTTTATAGCAGCATAATTACAATTGCAAAGATGTGGAAACAACCCAATTGCCCATCAATACATGACCAGATTAATAAAATGTAGTATATGTATACCATGGAACACTACTCAACCACAAGAAACAATGGTGATCTAGTACCTCTTGTATTATCCTGGATAGAGCTGGAGCCCATTCTACTAAGTAAAGTATCACAAGAATGGAAAAGAAGCACCACATGTACTCACCATCAAATTGGCATTAACTAATCAACGGTTATTTGCACATATAATAGTAATATTCATCGGGTGTTGGGCAGATGGGAGGAGGGAGGTGGGAGGAGGGAATGGGTATATTCACATCTAATGGGTGTGGTGCGCACTGTTTGGGGAATGGACATGCTTGAATCTCTGACTCATTCAGGGAAAAGGCAATGTATGTAACCTAAACATTTGTACCCCCATAATATGCTGAAATAATAAACAAATAAATAAAAATATACAAAGAACTCATACAACTCAATAGCAAAAAAAAAAATAGATTTCAAAATGGGGAAAGGACTTAAATAGACACTTCTCTAAAAAGACACATAATGTGAACAGCCAACAAGGATATGAAAAGATGCTCAACATCAATTATCATCAGGGAAATGCAAATCAAAACCACAATAAGATATCACTTCACATCTGTTAGGATAGGCATTATAAAAAAAAATTAAAGTTAAAAAAGCAAGGAATTGAGAAATTGGAACTCTTGCACTCTATTGATGAGAATGTAAAATGGAACAGCCGCTACAGAAAACAGTATAGAGCTTCCTCGAAAAATTAAAAATAGGATTATCATATGATCTGGCAATCCAACTTCTGGGTATTTATCCAAAGGTATTGAAATCAGTATCTCAAAGAGATATTTACACACTCATGTTTAATGAAACATTATTCACGATAGCCAACATGTGCAAACACCCAAATGTCCAGCAACAGATGAATGGATGAAGAAGATGTGGCAAGATCTTAGGACGACAGAACAACATGAGAGAAGGGGCCTGGATCACTGTGTCCTCCCCAGAGCCCTGTCACCCTAGCCAGGACACTTGCATTGAACAGGGACACACTGGACCCACAGAAAATCCTTGGAAGTATAACACCCTGCCTGTTCCAGTTGATTTCTAATTCTTACAGTTAAAATCCAGGTGTCTTGGTTAACACCTTTGGGGAGGCCCTTCATTCCTGTGGCCCTGTGTGCCAGCACTGACAAAACACAAGGAGAGAGGGACTTCAGAGGAGGCCAGTCCCTGGGCCTTGAGCTTTTGCCACCTCCCTCAAGGCACTACATAAGTAATATAATATAACTTTCAGTTGCAGAGCAAAGTGAGGGACACAGTTTCCTAGATTATGGGTGGCCTCCCCTCCCCCACCCCAACAGATGTTCCGCCCTGGTTGCCTAGCACTTGTTTGTGTTAGTGACAGAACAATCTCTAAGGGCTCCTGTGGTCAACTGTGGCCCACATGCCACTGGCAAATGGAGGCAGAGCTACAGAGCCCTTTGGAGCCACGAAGGGCCTGCTGCCCACACCTGAAATGTCTCCGCAGCTGGTCCTAGACCAGCTGTGGGCTGTTCTGTTGGTGATGTTCAAAAGCCTGGAGCAAGTGCCTGGAGCACTGGGGTTCTCTGGGAAGGTCCTGGTGTGCGCTGCTCTGGTGGTCTTTATAGTGAGAAGAGGCATCTCAGGAAGACGAGGGGAAGAGCCGGCCACAAGGGGTTCAGCCTGCGGTAAGGTGGACCCAAAGGCCCGAGCCAAGACTGGGCCAAAACCAAAGGCCCACGCTGGGCCCCCATCGCCCGTGGTGGAGGACAGTCCTCTTTGGCTCCAAAACCTCTGCTTGGCAGCTCTAAATGGAACGAGCACATATTCCTTACAGAACATGGTTGACTTGCTGAAAGAAGGAGAGAAAAGCCAGCCTCCTGAACTTCCCCAGGTGCTGGACACACAACATGTCTCAGTCACTTCACAGCATGATGGAGATCTTCAGAGGAGGACCGTGGCCAGTTTGGATGACAACAGGGACCTTCAGCAAGTCCTTCCAAGACAGAAGCAACAATGGCATGACAAGGAGAAGAAAAGAAGCCTGGAGAGCGCGAAGGCAGTAATGAACCGGGCTGAGAGTGGTCAAGTGAGGCGACGGTCATCCCTGGCCCACACCCTGCTCAGCCCCCTGCAGCTGCCCAGCCCCAGGAGTGGCCTTCCGGAGGACGGGGACGTGGAGGTGGAGGGAAACAGGGGAGCAGGACAGGCCGATCGCTCCGCATCCCTGCCACAAGTCCCTCTGAAGAGTTTCAGTGATGATGGTGATTTAACTGCATGCTTGGGAAGTCCTGAAGAGGAAACTGGAGAAGTAGCCGGACAACTGTGCAAAGAAACCAGAAGGAGGGAAGAGCTGGAAGAACAAATTGAAACCTTGCAAGCCCAGGAGGCCTCTCTGCAGGAAGACAATGCGCGGCTGGACAGGGAGATCCAGGAGCTCGAGCTGAGGCTGCAAACACTACCTGCTTTGGAGCAGCAACATGTGACGGAACCTGAGAGGAAATTGAGGGAGGAGGAAGTCCACTGCTCGGAGATGGAGAAGAGACTCGCCACCGTGTCAGAAACGGTAAACCGCACTCGGCAGACAAGAGACATCTACAAGAAGATGGCTGAGGACCTGGCCCAGGAATTGGAGACATCCACTTCCTTTTATCAGAGGGACATCCTCTTCCATGAGCGTGGAGTGCAGGATAGCCGGTTAGCCGCTGTGTCCACTGAGCGGGACGTCAAGTTGCTCAGGAGAGAAAACAACTACAACAGGCAGAAGCTGGCTGCCCTCCAGGCCACGTTCCAGCCTTTCCCCAGCGGCCCTTTGGCTGCCAGGGCTCCATGGGCAGCCCATGGGCCCGGAAGTGCCATGGGGGCCGTGGGCCTTCAGCTCCGCCGGCAGAGAGGAGGGTCGCTGCTGTGAGGGCTCAGGGTTCCAGGGCAACCTGCTGATTTGATTGTGCTTCCCTTATAGCCGGGTCCTGAAGGCTGCAGCCTCCGCAGAACATCAGCCAGTGTTTCTCTCTCTGAGGGAATTTTTGATTGAACTCGTTTTAGTTAAGCTGTTGTTCTTTAATTCATATTGAAATTACTCTTAATAAAGTTTCATAGCATCATAATTGTAAGGTAGCATTTTTTCAATATAGATTGTTTAATATAATCCTATGCATACTGCATTTCCACATCTCTGAACCCTCTAGAAGTACATGGTATAAGTATTGTGTTTTGATTTAAAGGGCCCACTTACATAAACATCATTGAAGGTTGAAATGGATAGGGCCGTTCAAAGCAAAGTCCATTTCTGTGTGCTATGAGTGGTTATTAGAAAACTGTACATTTGCCTGAATAAACTTTCATTTTTAATAACAACGCAAATATAGAGACATAAACCCCACCACCACACCACTCTAAGTTCATGTTTTTAATAGTTTGGTCCTAACCTTCATAGATTAATACAGGGAGGTTGATATTTTGCAACCATTGTTTCTTGTTTTGCAATTTTTTAAACGTATTTTGTTATTTTGTTTAGTATAGTGCTTGTTCTCTATGTATGTTGAAATGATACACAGTCAAAAATAGTTTTTCCTTTATGTTGAATACACTAAAACTCTCTCTCACTTAATACTCACGCACATACACACACATGCAAACACCACAATGCAGACACATACTTGTTCTGTCAGTACCTGGGGAAAATGTAAAAATAAAGATAGCTGCAAATATTGAAATAATGTTTTAAAATAAATAAAATGAGAATAAAAAGGTAAAAAAAAATTGTACCCGAATAATACTTTGAAATTAAAGAAAAAATGTTCCAACAACTTAGACTTGGAAGATTAAAAAAAAAAACTGAAAGTATCACACTCCCTGTTTTCAGGATTTATTATAAAATGATTATAATCAAAACAGCATGGTACTGGCATAAAAAAGAGACATTGACCAATGGAACAGGATGTAAAGGCCAGAAATTAACATATGCTTTTATAGTCAATTCATTTTTGATAAGTGCCAAAAACACACAATGGGAAAAGGACAGTCTCTTCAATAAACAATGTTGGAAAAATTGAATATCCACATGCAGAAGAATAAAATTGGACCCTTGTATCACACCATATAAAAAGGCAACTCAGAACTGATTAAAGACAAATATAAAACCTGAAATTGTAAAACTACTAGAAAAAGCATAGGCAAAAATCTCCATGACGTTAGTCTATGCAATGATTTTTTTAATATGACTCCAAAATCACAGGCAACAAAAGCAAAAATAGCCAAATGGGGTGGCATCAAATTAAGAAGCTTCTGCACAGCAAAGGAAACAACAAAGTGAAGAGACAAACCACAGAATGGGAGAAAACATTTGTAAACCATACATCTGATAAGGGGTTAATAACCAAAATATATAAGAAACTCAATTTAACAGTAAGAAAACAAATAACCTAAATAAATATGGGCAAAGTACCTGAGCAGATATTTCTCAAAAGAAGACATATTTTTGAGGTATGAAAAATACATGAAAAAATATTCAACATCATTAATCATTAGGGATATGGAAATTAAAACTACAATGAGATATCACCTCATACCTATTAGAATGGATTTTATAAAAAAAAAAAGAGAGAGAGAGCAATGAAACATAATAAGTGTTGGAAATGATGCAGAGAGAAGGAACTTTTGAACATTGTTGGTGGGAACGTAAATTAGTATAGCCATTATGGAAAACAGTACGAAGTTTCCTCAAAAAGCTAAAAGTAAAACTATCATGTAAGCCAGTAATCCTGCTACTGGGTATGTATTCAAAGGAACTGAAATAAATATGGTGAAGGTGTATCTACGCTCCCATATTCATTGCCCTGTTATTCACAATAGCTAAATAAGGAATCAGACTAAGTGTCCATCAACAGATAAATACATAAAGAAAATGTGGTGCATATATACACAACGGAATACTATTCAGCATTTCGAAGGACGAAATTTTGTCATTTGTCACAGCATGGATAAATATGGATGACATTATGTTAAGTGAAATAAGCCGACCACAGAAAGACAAATACCACATGATCTCACTTTTATGTGGAATCTAAAAAAGTTGAACTAGAAGTGCTCACTCTTAGCTTCTGCCCGAGACTATGCTTCCCAGCCTCTCAGAATGGCCAGCCCACAGGCCACAATTTTTTATGAGAAATAAAGCTCTCCTTTCCAAATTTATGACCCTGGTCATTCTTTCTTTAGTTGGCATGATTGGTGACGATGATGGGATCCGTGGAGACTTCCAGATTACCCCAGTGTGGTTGGATGTCAACACGCTGATGTCTGCAGGAGCCCATTGACAGCTCAGTTGTCTCCCCAGCCTCGCTGGGAGGAAAACAGGTAAGGTCCTCTGGATCTAAGATCTTCCTCTTTTAGGTTGAAGATCTTGGATACTTTATTTCTTTCCACCCCTTTCCTTCATTTCTTCCTGGTTCCCTCCTAGGCCCTGTTTTTATTCCCTCTATCTGGACCCCAGAGGAAACGTCTTTGTCAGCCCTGGGTTTAGGGGGCCCTTCCCAGTTCCTTCCGTCTATACCCCAGAAAAGACCTTCCTTGTCAGCCCCAGGTGTGGGGAGGTCTTCCCAGTCCAGTTGGACTCATCTGGTCCATAAAGTTTTGTGAGGATGCTCCTGCTAACAGCACTCAAAGGGACTCATTCGTAAGTTGAGTGCAGTTACAGAGAACCTTAGTTCCAAGGGGGCAGTGTCTGATCAGCTGCCATCAGGGATTCCAGTGGCTTACATATTTAAGAACCATGCAAAATTCTTGTAAATATTTGAAATTTTGGATAAGGCTGGCCTGGAATGACTCAAAGCTTTGCTGGCCACATTGAGGGTATTATGAAATCTATCTCTAGACGGGTTTATCTGTGTGCACAACTGGAACAAAGAGGCTATGAAACCTCCTCAAAACAAGGTCAGCAAAGGATCAGTCTTGGTAAGACTCATTTTACCTCATTTTTTTCTTTGGATGTGACTTTCTGCCCTGATAAACAAGGAAATTCACTTCTTCTATTTAGAGGTTTTGACCTAGTTCTTTAGCTTCCTGTTTCTACAGCATCAAAATCTGGCAAATTTATTAAGCAAACTTCTACTGTGTGTTTGAGGAAGGCCCACTCCCTCTAGTTTGAGTTTGTTTCTCAAGCACCAGCAGATTATGAGAGATTTCACTCCACCTTCCAAAAGTTTTTGCCTCCTTCCCAGCCTTCCAGGTTCATCCCATGCATTTGGGACTCTTTAAGTTTCTGATGTGTCACACGGCCCCATATGACTGCCAAAAATGGAAATTTCTTCTATTTGCCCTAGTAGCATTCTTTTGCATGGGCCAAGCCCAAAGTTCACTGTGAACCCTGAGTTAACAAATTCCCCCAGGAAAGAAAATGCCTTGCCATTTCCATTAACTGCAGAAGGAATCTAACTCTCAGGAATGCCATTTCATCTTATTACTTCTTCAGCTCTCTGCTTTCTTTAAAATTGTTTTTATATTTGTTTGATTCCTCTAGCTATTGTAGGAGAAACATTGGAATGCAGCAAACTACTATAGCCTGTTCAAAAACAGAAGTTTAGAGTGATCCTTTTGATATAAAAGTCTGAATATATCATTCTCCTACTTAAATCCTTTAATGACTCTCCATTGCCCTCGAGATATACCCCAGAATCTTTAAAAGAAAACTTTTATGATAAGACCCTTGTTTGAAGGTGACATATACTCTCTCATATCCCTGAACCTTTGTGACACTGACAGCTGTTACTGAAATGTACCTCCTATTCTTACTGGCTCTTCAGGACCCAGGTCAGCCCCTCTGCTTGTGGAAGGTCATTTAGGACACTCAAGGCTGACTTAGGAGCTCCTGCCTAACTTCCCTCGTCAAACTGCACTGTAGCTTTCTGTTTACTGTTCTGTATTCCTTTCTAAACTCTGACCTCCTCTGATGACTGAGAACATGTCATATTCATCATCAGAGGAACATCTGAGGGTAGGGTTTAGCAACATGGGCACCGAAGCCAACTGCCTGGGTTCAAATGTTAGCTTTGCCACTTCTTAGTCTTCTCCTACTGGCCAAGGTTTTGAGTCCCAGATTCTTCATTTTAAATGTAGATTGCAAAAGTGCTTACCTGGTAGGTTTGGACAAAAAGAAAGTAAACCCTAGAAAATAATCAGAGTGCCCTGCACAATAACAGAGTTTCATAGAAAAAGAACCATAACAAATACACATAATGGGGGGGAAGGGGGCGGAAAGAAAAGAGGAAGTCGTGAATTGCTGACCCACACCCTCCTCCCACATTTAAGTCGACACAAGTCAGTGGAAAGCCCGTGAGGTGGAGGGTGGGGGGTCCTTATGATATTACACCTTATAATAGTACCCCAGCGAGGGTTCATCCCCACCATCCCACCAAAATTATTCTCGCCACATCACCACTCACCTCTACATTGATAAATCCAATGGTCAATGCTCAGTATTCACCTTACTTGGTTGATGAGTAACATTTGGTTCAGAGGAGCATGCTTTTTTCTTTCTCTGCTTGGCTTCAAGTACATCATACTTTCTTGACTCTCTTCTGAGGTTGTTATTTTCACCTGCTTTGCCTCCTTTGCAGGTCTCCCCACCTCTCCTGGATGTGGTAATGGTGTAGTATCCAGGACCCAGTCCTCAGTCCTCTCTACCATCTTTGGACTCATCCCCATAATGACCTCATTTGATTGCTTAGCTTTAGAGACTCTCAAAATTATTTCTCCAGCCCAGACCTCTCTCCTGAACTCCAGGTTTGTATATCAAATTTCCTACTTACTATCTGAAATCTGGATCTCAAATATATATTTCCAACTCACCATGTCCAGAACTGGACACCTGATGTTCCCCCCAAACCTCCACCCACAGCCTTCCCCATTTCAGTT